GGGACAGATCCCTGTCCCTTCTGCTGCTCCCAGCGGGTGGGCACAGCAAAAACCTTGGGGGGGGGGGGAAAGCAGGAGCAGCTGAGGGTAAGGGGATTCACTTGTACAGCCTGTGAATGCAGTCCTGGTCTTCTGCTGTGCCACGGTGTGCACAGAGAGCCTGAGGTTCCCAAGGCCCACTCAGCTGCACGCCAATCCGGTTTCGTTCTGACTGTCATCCTGAACTAAAAAGAGCCACGAGCTGCTCTAAGATCTTCCCTTTTTCTGGCCACCACCACCAATGGAGCATGTTCTCCCCATGAAAACAGCAGCGAGGGCCATGGGAGATGGACACAGCCCCAGCCACCCTGTCCTTTTCTGGCAAATGTTGAGTTGCACTTGGACTTAGAGGCGTGCTGGGCACAGAGCACTTGCCAGAAGTGCACTTGTGTAGGCACAGGACAGCACTCAGGCTGAGGTTTCATGCAGGAATTTGGGATAGTCCCACGGCCACATTCAAATCTCAAAACCCTTTCCCAGAGAAAGAAGAAAAACATTTCCAGCTATGCTCGTTTCAGAAGTGTCTGAGTTTACACCTAGCTGCAATAATTTACAGTTACAACAGCAGAGTCAGTAACATCTGATAGAAGGACATCTTATATCCCTCTTTTATGGCAAAAAATCTTTTAAATCCAAGGCAGAAAGAGCCTGAGTGAGCCAGGGTGTTCCCTGCAGGGGATGATGGAGCTGCAGCACAACACCAGAGCAGTAAACCCCACTCTGCTACAACAGTACACTCAGGAGGGCAAGTTTTTACCCTGCTCCTCTGTTAAAGTGTTGTCAAAAGGATCCTACAATGCAAACATCAGAGGCGAGCCAGTCCCCCAGAAGGGAGGCACCCAAGAGCAGATTATGGGTTGTTTTTAGGGGAAAGTGCCCGATGCTGCTGTGCTAGAGCTGGGGTCTGCAGTAGCCTGGGCCAGCTGCTGTGCTCCCATCACACCAACACAAGCAGCAGATTGTCCTGCTCCAAAGAAATGACAGCCTCATTAAGGCCACGCTCCAGCAATGGAAACAGCACGGGCAGAACTGGCAGAACTGAGTTCCCTGGGAGAGCAAGACCCCGGGTCTCACAGATGCCTTCGAGCAGGGAACAGAGACACGAGCCCAGAGAGCTGAAGCGAGGGGGGCAGGCCCAGCCCCCCCGCCCAGGGAAAGCCCCCGGGGGGCACAGCACCCACCGTTGATGATCCTGGCCACCCTCCAGAGCCGCAGCAGGATGAGGAGCCCCACGGCCTCGAACTCGTGCTCCCAGAAGATGAGGACGACGTCGAGGATGAAGGACACCACGACAACGATCCCGTCCAGCACCTCGAACTTGTGGTGGAAGAACTCCCGGCGGTAGATGAAGACTTTAAACCCCACTTCAACCAGGAAGATGGTTAAAATAGAAAGGGAGAGGTAGTGGAAAACCTGGGAGAAGACAGCACAAGCGTAAGGCCGGGAGCCCCTCCTGTGTGCACGCGAGCGGGGCAGGCTGCAGACCCCCCCCTCTTGGCAGCACCTCTGATCTGTCTCTAGAAGGAGGGCTGGGGGCTTTCCTTCTGCTCTAGGTGACAAGCACAGCTGGGCAGCCAGTGGTTTTGAGTAAGCCAGGCCAGGAGGTATGAAGACAAGCAGAAGAGTGGCAAGAGCAATTCATCTCTGCTGCAGCCCAAGGAAACGTGAAACTGCTGCAGGGACTGGTGTGAGCTGAGCCAGGCTGACCCTGCAGGGCTGTCACACCAGCCCCTGTGAGGCCTCCACCCGTGTGTCTGTGACTTCTGACTCAACCAGGCTAAGGTTGAGGTCCTGCCTGCCAGGCTGGCTGTCCTAGCTAGTAGGCTTTGAACAACAAAGAGAGGGAAACCATGGCTCACATGGACACTTTCCTGTGTTTTACCTTTGGGGTGATATTATATTTGTCTGGAAGAATGATTTTCAATTCCATAAGCAACTCCCCAAGGACCAACAAGGCATCCAGGATGACCAAGCAGACAACCACGATCTGTTGGAAAAGAAGAACTGATGCGAAGCCCTCTCCCAACACGAGCAGATCAACAAAAGGAGCTGACACAGCCTTCAGCTGAGCACACCCCAACACCCTGTGTCCCCGATTTGGCCAGCTGCACTTCCCAGAGCTTTCTGTTGCTCCTGCAGCCCCTGCTCAGTGGGTTATTCCCACAAAATCTCACTCACACAAAACCACCCAGCCCTCACCAAACCCAGCTGCTTCCCACTGCTGGGGCGGGGGCCTTGGGGAGCCTGAGCAGGGGGAGCACACATGGCTGGGCTTGTTCTGTCTCACCTGAAACCTGTGGGAGCTGAAGAGCTTTTTCATCATGTCCTGGAAGGAGATCTGTCTCCTGGCGGGCTCCAGCTTGATCTCCGAATCTGGTTGCTTCTCCCCAGCCTCCTCCTCCTCCTCCCATTTCTGATAGTCATAGCTCCACTGCACAGGGTCATCACCCACCACCGTGAAGTGCTTCAGGTACCTGGACATGGCTCCGGATCAACCTGGCATCACCCTGCCAGCGTCTGAGGGACAAGAGCAGAGCGTCACCTCCCCGCCCGGGGCGGACCGAGGCTGCCAAACCTCCCTCCGCAGCAAGCCTGACAAGAACGTGATGCTTCGTGCAGCCGGGGGCCGGCGCCGCCGGGCCCTGCTGACGGGAAATTGCTTAACGGTGGAGCCGCTCGCTTTGCATCACCTCCCACAGCACACCACAGAGCCCCCCGCCACCCTCCCGCCTGCCCTTTGCACCCTGTCTGCTGCTCTACGAGGGGGAACTTCCTCTCGAGGTATTTCCTATCATCTCAAAGCATCGATTACAGGAGAAAAGAAACACCAGTCCTTAGCTCGCAGGAGAGGAGGGAGCTGCTGATTTCCTGCTGGGAAGAGCCGTGGTGTTCCTGTTTGGACACTGCTCGATGGAGGCTGCTGGAC